GAGCCAATTTTGAAACTGCAGTCACTGTCTCCATACAGGACGTCAGTGTGAAATGATTGGCTTCTATGTCAGATTGAGCTGCCATGATTTGCTTAATCGACATCATAGGAAGGTTAAGAAGAGGAATGACAGGAAGAGTAGGAGTAGAGGCATTCGGCCCAGCAGTGCTTACGGGATCATTCAGGTCGGGAAAAAGAGTAAGGGGACGGGACGAGGCCATGTAGTAGAAGAGAGATATGTAATCAAAATGAGAGCAGTTTTTGGCAATCTTTCTGCTCTGCTCAGTCTCCCTATTCTGTCTATCGAGGAAGAAGAAGATTGAAGAGAGTGATGAAGAAGAGATAGAAGAAACGATAGAAGAGAATGAGGTGAAGACGAAGAAACAGACGAGTATGATTAAGAAGAAGGCTGAAGAGAAAAAGACAAGGAGGGAGCGCTAGCCGAGGTGAACGGCAATCGAGGAGAGCTGCTTTTGTTAGCCAATGAAGCAAAAGCCAGGCCGTGTGGCAACCTCTTTTTGCAAAAAACGAGAGAGACGTGGGAGAGTTGTATGTGTATGCGTATATGTATATATATTGTATAGCTATGTAATATATATATATATATACATATATTGATTATTTATCTTTTGATGCCATTTATCACTATCATTTTCCTCCTCCTCCTTCTCCTCCTCCTACAGATTCTGACTTATTATTTCCTTTTGATAATGTCACAGGGGGAGAAAATTATATGATGTTATGTATTATGGTATTATTTTCAAGCTAATATGATGTTATGTATTTATAGTTTGATATCTTAATCTTATATCATGTTATTAATTCAGGAAGCATGACTTGAGGGGGAGCCCTTGTTACTTGTTACTCCCAAATCAAATCAAAATATCATTGTGTGCCATCATCAAAAGGGGGAGATTGCCAAACTTATTTATTTTGATGATTTATTTAATTATGTTTTAATTTATTTGAAAGAGAAAAATAGAATCCAAAATTTATTTTGATGATTTATTTAATTATATTTTAATCAAAATTTATTTTGATGATTTATTTGAAAGAGAAAAATAGAATCAAAATTTATTTTGTCCAATTATTTCTCACCTAAACCTTTATCCTAAATATTGTTAAAATGTATTTAATATTTGATTAAATCAGGAGTTCAAACAACCCAAAACAAAGGTTCAAACAGCCTAGCACAGCAGCAGGCCAAAAGGTTCAAAAGGTTCAAGTGGAAGATATTCAAATTAGTAATGATAGAAGTACAACGGCTATAAACGGTTATAAAGGTTTAAAAGGCCAAAAGGTTCAAAAGGTTCAAGTGGAAGATATTTAAATTTGTAACGATGGAGTGGAAGATATTCAAATTAGTAATAATGGAAGTACAACTGCTATAAACGGCTATAATTTTCATTATATATACCAAAGTCTCTAATGTAAACAAGTTATAAAAAACCTGAAAATATTCTTTGATATATAATCACTCACATCTATTCTCAGAAATTATACACTGAGCCTTATAGCATTAAATTCATCTTTCCTGTGTGAGATTTACAGAAAAATTAAAGTTTCATTTTATATATCTATCTTTGAGAGATATTTATTATAAGCTTTCTTTGAAAGCAAAAATACTATTTCATCTTGTAAAAGTGTTGCAAACATTGTGTTCTTGAAATCTTGAGAGTGATTGTGAATCACCTAAGATTTGCAAGGGTTTGGACTTGTGAAGTTTGTGTAAAATCCGTGGAGGATTGCTCCATTTGTAAAGAGGTTTCTAGCACCCCTGTGAAGCTAGAAGATAGTGAAAAATCTCAAGTGAAACTTGAGGAGTGGATATAGGCGTGGTTGAAGGCGAACCGCTATAAATCTATTTGTCTCCTCTTCCCTAATCTCTTTACTTTCCTACTACTGCTATAGCTATCTAATATTCATGTGTTAATCATTTGATTTACCCTGTATGTTAGTTATACTTCATTGTTATTTTTCTTGATCATTTACTGCTAAGTTCATCGTTGTGCTTGTTAATAATTTGTTGTACTAATAGTTAATTTTATTGAGATATTATTAATTTTAATTTGTAAAAACCTAATTCACCCCCCTCTTAGGTTGCTTTTTGGGTAACAAGAGATAAACCAAATATGCTTATAATTTCTCACATAAATATATTTACAAACACAAGCATATTCAATTGTTATAAATCTATAACCCATATATAAATCACAACAAAAACACTACGAAGCAAACAAATGAAATACATGAAATCTTAGACACAAAAAAGCCATGTAAGTTATTATTTAATTGTTAACTAACATTGTTTTCACCTAAGGCTCTTCTTCAACTTCATGGGCATTAGAAATGGAGCTAATCACAATATATAATTTTTTACTCACCTGAACAAGACCATTTTGATAGTGAACACTGTTTGAAAGAGGAAATTAAAAATAAACATTGCCGTCCAAACTCTGACCGGCAATGATGTGGTATAATAGGTGTCAACTTTTAATTTATTACACATCTAATGATAAAAGGTCCAACTCTTATTATATCATTATACCAAACTATAGATCTCTAACATTTTTGAAAATTTTATTATATATTATAGGAACAAAAATACTATAAATCCAAATTTATAAATCCATAATTTGTCCATCAATTTTTTTTATAGGTAAATTCTTGGTTTATATGTATCTTGTTATATGAAATATTTTGTAGAAAAATTAAAGTGACCACCTCTATGCCGAGGATACATGGCTTAATATATAGCAAAGTTATACGTCATCATTTCTATATCAAATGGCCGATCATAATGGTAGGTTGTAATATTAATTTGTAGAAATGACATTTTTTTTAATTGGAGCTTGAGACTCAACTTAATGTTTTGCTACTTTTTATACATGTTAGTTGGCCCCCGTGGGGGGTCTTGTCACCAAAGGCAGAATTTAAAATTTTATTGGTGGAATAAAAGTATGTGTATAAAAATATTGAGTTAATTTGAGTACATTAATAATTAAACATAATTTCTTTTATAAACATTGTGAAAAAATTATTTTATAAGAAAAATAAATTAATCTAGTAAGTATATATATATTTTTCATTTTATACATGTTAGTTGGCCCCCGTGGGGGGTCTTGTCACCAAAGGCAGAATTTAAAATTTTATTGGTGGAATAAAAGTATGTGTATAAAAATATTGAGTTAATTTGAGTACATTAATAATTAAACATAATTTCTTTTATAAACATTGTGAAGAAATTATTTACAAGAAAAATAAATTAATCTAGTAAGTATATATATTTTTTTCAAAATATATATAACATTTAATTTTTAATTTTTTTTTAAAAATAACATATACCTTTTGTATTAATAAAATACTCAATAAAATTGATATATTGAGAGTAGTTTGTTTAATAAACAACTATTATTTTTAAAATTTATAATAAGATAAAGTTTTTTAAAAATGTTAAATAATGTTCTTTTAAGAATAAATTATGTGAAACCGTGGTTTCAAATTAAACAAATGACAACATGCATAAATGCCCATGGTTGGGTTATAAATGAACTCCCAACTATTAATACATGATTTGGCCTCTAAACAAATGAGTAAAAAGCGTAATGACAAAAAGGAAAGAAATAAAAAATATACATATTAAAAAAAAAAAAAAAAAAAAAAAAAAAAAAAAGTGCAAAGGTGATAATGGACCACAAATTTCCAGGTTCACTTTTTTTTGTTCTTTTTTTTTTCCAAATAATATTCCACTTTGCTCAATCCAAAGCTTTTTCGAGATGATTCCTTCCAATCCCTCACATGGTTTGGTCTATGGTCGGTCGTACGTGGCAACTACACATTGGTCAACGACTTTGCCTGAACGAATCTCAGCCATTAAACCTGGAAATATCCAGATGTAATCATCTAAGAAAAGGCAGAATCCCTATGATGCAAGTAAAGCTCTTTTCTCGCTAATCAGGAAAGCAACCCAACTCCTTTATTTGAGATACACTTGGAATTTTGTAAGTCATAAGTCACCCCCCAAAAATGTTTAATTTTGACATTTGTGCACTTCTCATATGATGCTTCATGCTAAGCATGCACTTTTATTTTTTTTTTTAAAACAAAATGTAGTGAGATAAAGTTTTGAAGATGTGTGATTAGGGTTTTAGAGTTAAAAATTTATAATAAAGAGAATTTTATTGGATTTTTAAAATATTCATCAAAATACACTTTATGTATCTCTGATCCTCCAAACTTGTTCTTGAAAATTTATAGAATACTTGTTAATCAGTCATATTAATTAGATTTATTTATGGTGTGCAACTTACACCTTACACCTTATACGTTACACTTACACCTTACACTTACACCTTTTGTAAAAAATTAAACCTTACACTTACACTTTTTTACAAAATGTAGTGAGATAAAGTTTTGAAGATGTGTGATTAGGGTTTTAGAGTTAAAAATTTATAATAAAGAGAATTTTATTGGATTTTTAAAATATTCATCAAAATACACTTTATGTGTCTCTGATCCTCCAAACTTGTTCTTGAAAATTTATAGAATACTTGTTAATCAGTCATATTAATTAGATTTATTTATCTAATGTATAATTTAGATTCATTTTAAATGTAAATTCTATCATATAAGAGTTGAATTTAAACTATATAGTACTTAATTTTGAGGCATAAACTTTGAATAGGTAATTTTATGCCTTTTCTTTTGTTACAAGGAAAAGAAAATTAAATTATATTATATTATCTTAAGATAAACAAATTATCTTTGGAAAAATAACGAAGGATCTTGGGTATATTGCCCCCACAAAAAGCACTACACTTCCTAATTCCTATATATATCATCTTCACTTAACAATTTTCTTCGCAAAAATACATACACCAGTTGATTCTAGAAAATATCTGCAATACTTTCCCTCTCTCTTTATCTTTCCCTTTACACAAACAGACCTTCATTAAGAAAACCTATCAAACCCCCTCTTCTTCCAGCTTTTTCAAACCATGGCAAGACACTATAACTCTTCATACTATGATTATCTCCAATATTTCTCTCTACCAGTCCACATGTACTTCTTACTGGCTGTAGTGTTCCTCATCTTAGGCTTCACATGGTACATAAACTATGAGTCCAAGTTTCAGGACATGATGTATCAGCTCAAGCTAATCTTCATACTCACACCAATAGTGTTACTGCTTGTTGTGCACTGGTTATCGAGCGAAGACCGACACACAGTCCCGTTCTCCATTTCGTTGCCAGAGAAAGACTCGCTTCACAGAGCCGGAGGGTCTGCATGGGGTGTTGCTGCTCTGCTAGTCTTTCTTCTCTACATGATCTCTTACCAGTCCAAACTCCATGAAAGTTGGTTTCCTTTACTGAGTAGATGATGATAATAAGTGATGTTATGGGCTGGCTATACATGTAATTTTTGTACATGTGTGAGAGTTGTTTTTGTTTTTGTTTTTTGTTTTGTTTGTGGGGTGGGGTGTTGTTAGTACAAAAAATAAAATCAAGGCCTCATAGTCTGTATTGTAGGTTGTTTATGGTGAATATATATTACACAAATGTGAATGGGGTTGTTTTTTTCCATGTTGGTGAGTATATAATATGACTTTGTTCCTACTTTATTGTTATGTATGTTTGTTGTTTTTAAGCATGGTTACATAAACTATAGATCTGGATTTTGAAGTGGTACGCTCTTTTGAAAATTGAAGTATGTGTAATAATTGAATGATGAACTAATGAGCCGTGAACTTTAAATCACAGGGCAAAGCAAAAGTGAGACCACCAGAACGAGCATCTCTCTTAAAGATACATTTTATAGTTATTGGTGCCAATACATGTATATATACTACCATACTAGAGGTGATATTACGCATATAATCACATAAATGTATTGTTTCAAGCGATGAAGGGGTAGGTAAAAAAAGTGTTAATTACTCTTAGAATTGTTAGAATGTGTCTCATATCGTCTGAAGGTGTCCCATCTGTATTGATTATAAGGTTCCAATTTCCTTTTCCTTAATACTTGAGTTTTAAGGAGAAGTGTGGGCTGAGTTTTTCAATTTGGTATCAAAGCTTGGTTGGGCCTGCGATTGGTGTGCCGTTTGTCCAGCTATTGTATGTTGTGGTCCAGGAAGGTGGCTTCTATTTCCCTCTCCTTAATATCTGAGTTTTCTGGAGTTGTACTGGTTATAAGGTTTCAGTTTCTCTCTCCTTAATTCCTGAGTTTTAAGGAGAAGTGTGGGCTAACTTTTTCAATTAGAAACCCTACATTTTCATCAAAATCATACTTTGGCAACCAAAAGAGAGCAAGAGAAAGAGAATAGAAGCTATACCCCAAGGTGAACTCCACTTGACTGGATGCCTTAGGCTTGTTGGATCTTGACATGGGGGTGTTCTGAATTTCAAGACCTTTATGCCCAATGTCACTGCTTGAAACAGAACCTTGTGAGTGTTTGAAAATCTGAAATTGCGCAATCCAAAAACTGAACTTTGCTCAATTTCATGCTTTGCACTTCCAGAGAGAATGTGAGTTGTGTTGTAGCTCATTTTATGAAGTGTAATTTTGAGAGGAAGTGCTATGGGTAAAACTGTAACTTATCATGAATAACCTCACCTGCACCATCACTGTTCACTTCCAACCAACTGCACCCAGGAGATTTCTTCAAATCTCTGCCTTTTATGGCAGCTCTCAGGCCAGCAGCATCATTCCAATTTTCCGACACAGAAGAAACACAAGCAGCAAGAACATAGTTTGCTCCAAGATTGGGCTCGATTTGAAGCAAAAGTTTCTTTAGATTTTCATCAAAACAAACAACATGACCATGGTTTTTACATGAACCAATGAAACTCCTGAGTATAATGGAATTAGGTTCCATTGGCATGTTCTTGATAACTTGATAAGCTTCTTCAATCATCCCAGCTCTTCCTAGCATATCTACCATGCATCCATAATGTTCCATTGTTGGCCTGATATCATAGTTCCTTACCATCTCATTGAAAAACTTTTTCCCCTCCTTGACAAGGCCCAAATGGCTGCAAGCACTCAGGATTCCAGAAAATGACATGCTGTCAGGTTGTAGTCCAGTTTGCCGCATTTGGGTAAACAAGGAAATAGCATCTTCCCCACGGCCATGATTGGCGAGGCCAGATATCATGATCGTCCAAGACTGCAAATTCTTTTCATTCATGGAATTGAAAACACAGAAAGCTTTCTCTATGTGTCCACATTTTGAATACATCTCAAGAAGTGCCGTCCCCAGAGCAACTTCCAGTCCAATATTATTGACAATAATTTGTGTATGAATGGACTCTCCTATGCTCATGTTGAGCAGACGAATACAAGCAGAGAGTAAGCTAACCAGAGTGACAGAGTTTGGATTCACATTTACCGACTTCATGTGTTGGAAAACTATTAAAGCATCCAATGCACAGTTACTGCAGAGATAAAGGAAGTTCAGTAAGGCAAATGCTAACATGTCAAACTACAATATAAAAGAAGTGACTATATTCACTTCACTAAGAGATTAGCTTTGGTTAATTCACCAATTCAGTAACTTTTCATTTCAACCCTAAGAACTGACATTTAAGGTGGTAATGCAGATTTTCTTTGAGAAATCTCCTACATATTGTTTATCAGTAAATACAAAAACCAATTTAACAACCAAGTAACTCCATTTTAGAAGATGACAAGTGGATTAGAACTTGAGTAGAAACAGAAAAAAAATTTAACATCTAATGATCTATTAAATTGCAAATAAATGTAAAAGTTTAATGGTTTCTCTAAACTTGTATGAACCAAATGAATGAAAAAATTAATCAGCTCAAAGTTTTGGCAATTTCAAGCATTATTCGACCTCAGAGTAACTCATAATTCATCAAGAGCTACTGACACTGGAATCAAGGCATAAAAATAGAGCCTTAAGAGTGGCTCAACTCTAAGGAATGAACTTGTGCTGGCTTAGGTTTCTTGCCTTTGCTTCAAACAAAGATTGGTATGTTAAGCATCATTCCATGACAAGCTTATCGGTGTAACCTTATGTTTTTGTTGAACCGTGCTATATTCACAGTTTGTATTGACCATATAAATAGCAGTTACTATCACATGACTGCACAGCCTAATTGGAAAAATTTTATGAGCATAACTTTCTAGACTCATTGTTGAATAGGACTGAGGAATATATGCAAAAAGAAGGTTAGTATCAAGTGGATCATATCCACCAGAGAATCACAAACAATTCCTATGATTCTAATGCACCGCTCAAATGTAAGACAACCACACAAATTATTAGCAAAAATAATCTAAAAGTTATTTGGGATAACAGATTACTGATCCATGCAATATGACTTGTGCAACTAAAGAAAAAGTTGAGCTTTAAATTTCTTTAATTGAAATATCTATTATCACAATAATTATGTGTCTATAAGTTGGAGGCCATCCCATTTCGTTGTTTAGGTTACTTAATCAAGGGACCATATCAGCAACGGATTGCTAACAACACTTATGCCTATATTGCGCGACTCAAGAGTGACAACCACACAAACCATTTCCCAGACAAAAACTATAAAAACCCTGTGTGTGTTGGTATTGAAAGATTTTGGGGACTCGGGTTTGTGGCCAAAAAGCCAGTTGTCATGTCACTCTCTCTACTTTCTCCATGTCTTTTCGTAAAAAGTCAAAAAATCAATTAAAATAACCAATTCCCAATCAGCGCTTAAATGAAAAACACTACTAACTAAGAGAGAAGCATACCAAGCAACATAGCTAGCAATCATGGAGCTCCAAGACACGACATCTCTATCACTCATTTCATCAAACACCTGTCTTGCAAGCCCGATCACATTGCAAGCGGAATACATCTTCAAAAGAGTATTCCCTATATACCGATCTGAATCAAAACCCGTTTTCAAAATTGAAGAATGCAATGTCCCACCTACTCCAACGATGGAACAACGACCGCAAGCCTTGAGAACAAAAGGGTATGTAAATTTGTCAGGTTTAAGACCCACCCTTTGAAGCTGAGAGAACAACTTCACTGATTCAATTGGTACTGAGCTCTTCGAGTATTCCCTTATAATTGTGTTCCACGCAAACATTGATGGGTCATTGGGTGAGCTGTCGAAGATCAATCTTGCAAACTCTATAGAAATGGAACAAGAGGACAATATGAACTGAGATATGGAATATTGGTCGCTGTCAGAGAGCGGTTTTGATCGATGAGAAGAATGGAGTTGGAAGAGATGGGTTGTGGTTCTTGACCGTTGGAGGAGGGTTTGAAACTGGCGGGAAATCATCACACGACACATAAATCACAACACCACCATGGCATTTTACATGGCAATTGCATGTATAAAGCAGGCCCCAATGCTGGGGCAATAAGTATCTCATAAAAAAAATTCTGAATATTTTATTTTCAGTATTTTTTTTATAAAAATTATGTCAAAGTTTTTTAATTTTTCTGTCTGTCTTTTGTGTAGACAAATTTTAAAAATAAAAAAAAAAAAAAAAAATTAAAAATTATATAAAAAAATTAAAATATCAAAATAAGTATTAAAAAAATCTATTACTTTTTGACTTATTTATTTATTTTTTATAATTTTCTGGATTGTTTCGTCAAACAAAATCTATAATCTTAAAGTTTTTTGAAAATTTTAAAAAAAAAGTTAATTTAAAAAAAAAGCCAAAAAAAAGAAAAAACTAACAACTAAGAGCATCTCCAACCGTGAATCAAAAATTTCACCAATTCTGAGTTCAAAAATGGCCATTTCCTGAATTTGATACTTCAGGCTCCAACGGTTCACCTTCACCAAATCTATCCCGGGACAACCGGGGGCGTTCGACGGCCGGTTGACCGCGGTTAGGCGCAAAAAATTTTTTTTTTTTTTTTTTTGCGAATATGTCTGTAACTTTTTTTGAATTGTCTGAACTTTTTCGGATCAACCTGGAGTCTGTGGTCGACCGGCTGGCTCGGAGCGTCAAGCCGGCGGTTGGACCGGTTAGCATAAAGAAATTTTTTTTTTTTTTAACGGTTTGAACTTTTTTTTCTGAACTGTTTGAATCTTTTACTGGTTGACCGGTTGGTCAACCGGCCGGGCAACCGGTTGGTCGACCGGTGTAGCATTTTCAACGGTCAGTAACAGTGATTTGGTAAAATCTGTGTCTTGATCTCAGTTTGATGTCTTGTTTGCTGAATTCTCATTTTGGTATGACTTTGGTGCAACCGTTGGAGCGTGAAAAAGTGGGTTTTTCATCAAAATTTAAATCTGATGCTGGGTTTGGTTCAGCGTTGGAGATGGTCTAAGCAAACCCCAAATACCATCACTCTTGGACATATCTCAATGATTCAAATTATTTATTTAGTTTTGTAAGGTTTATGAAAAAATTATTAATAAAAATTTAAGTTGGTTGAATTTTAATTGCTACACAATTAGATTACATTTGATTTTTTTTTTTTTGTTATTTTTAAATGGATGACAAGTGTGATATTGAGAGTGGAGACCATCCATCATTTTTAAGACAAATGTGATATAATTATATGATTATTAATTTTTGATTCTTTTTCTTTTAGATAATCTACTTTGAATCACCAATATAGACTGATGGATAGGGATGGCAATTTGAACCCGACCCGACGGGGACCCGACCCCCCGACCCCGATTAGAACGGGTTTTCCTCGAATATTATCCCCACAGGGCCGGAGATGATATTAAAAATTAAATCCTCGATAATTTTCGGGCCGGGGACGGTGATAGGTTCCCAACCCCGGCCCCGGCCCGGCCACGCCCCGAACGTCCCCGACAATCTCGTATGTATATATATATGTTTAAGCTTTATTATATATGTTTAGGCTATTATATATATTTTTTGACCAGAAGGCTAGGCTATATATCTAATATCTAATATATCAATTATATCTAATATCTATCATCAGACTCTCACTCTCTCTGTACTCTCAAGTTCTAAACACTCTCTCTCTCTCATCTCAGAGAAATGAATGAGCAGCTTGAGATGAATGACCACCTTCAGATCGAAGCCGTGACTGAGAGATCGGCGACAGAAGGCTCCTTCCAGATCTGAATCGCGACGAACATTTCTGCTTCGTCTCCAGATCTATAGCCACGGTTTTGAGATAATATATATACACACACATATATATATATGTATATACACACTGGTTCTCAAGATCTTGATATAGATATAGATATAGATACTCCCTCCGTCCCAAAATAATGGTCCCTTTTGGGGAATCCAACTTTTTTTGGTAGTACAATTATTGCATTTGAAAAAAGTTGATTTTCCAAAATTATCCTTTTGATAGTACATTTTTTGGGAATATCAATGCATAATTGTACTTTTTATGTTGTTTATTAATTTAAAAGAAGGGTAAAATAGGAAATTTATATTATTTTTGTACTTGATTTTTGAAGAGGGACTAATATTTTGGGACAATGAAAAATGGAATAAGAGAAATATTTTGGGACGGAGGGAGTATATATTTTGTTGTTGTTGATGTTGATGATGATGAATTTGTAGAATGTGTTGATGTTGATGATGATGATAGCTGCTGTGTTTGCTCTCGTTGGTTGAATTTTAATTGCTACACAATTAGATTACATTTGATTTTTTTTTTTTTTTGTTATTTTTAAATGGATGACAAGTGTGATATTGAGAGTGGAGACCATCTATCATTTTTAAGACAAATGTGATATAATTATATGATTATTAATTTTTGATTTTTTTTCTTTTAGATAATCTACTTTGAATCACCAATATAGACTGATGGAGGCTAACTCAACCTCTCAAATTTATTCAATTAGATGCTCAATTTAAGATAATTCAATCCCTTTTACATAAATCAAAAACATTTCTCCGTTGTGTTATCTTTTACTTGAGTGTTTTTTATCATCAGAAACAAAATGTAGTGAAATTTAGGATTATTCTGGATGACTTAAATAAGTGCACTTTTTATCTTTTTATGAAAAGATGTGCAGAAAAGTAGAGAGATGATGTGATGGAAAAAAAATAAAAAGATAAAAATTGTGTACTTATTTAGGATAGCCAAACTTGACCTTATATTAATAAAATGTGGAATCCAAAATTTTATGTTTGGGAAGAAGAAAATTGAATAAAATAGCATTTTCCAAAACCATAATAATATGATCTTAGGCAAAAGGTGAGAAAATAATGCACAACAATTTGAATATTTTGTCATTCTAAATTAGAAGCACTAACATTCATTGTAATTATTTTTTTTTTCAAAAAAAAAAATTGATTGAATATAAAATTCTATAATATCAAGATTGTCTATTAAAATATAAAGAAAAACATATTTCATTCATATTTTTATCTCACATTTTTACTTTCTTACCCAATCAAATATAATAGAGAAAAAAATACAACAAATTCTTCTTCTTCTTTTTGTCCGAGAGAAAATACAATAATTTCTTTCACTACGTCAAAATTGGGCTTTAGCGGCGGTTTTTTACCGCCGTTAAAGGCTGTAAAACCGTCGTTAAAGTCTTTAACAGCGGTATTAACAGCGGTTTCGTTACCGCCGTTTATGCGTGTGTCGGAAAAAGTGAAACCGTCGTAAAAAGGCAAATTACCGTCGTTAAAAGTCGACCAAAAACGGCGGTAATATAGGACCAAAAACGGCGGTTTTTTACCGCCGTAAATAGGTTCAAATTTTTCAAAAAATAATTCTTTCTTCTTGCACTCCCCAAGTTTTGAACCCAAGACTTCTCATCCACCAACACCAACCACTCTGCCATAGCCACTCTTCATGAAATATATTTCCTAAATAAATATTTAAACATTACTTTTACTTTATTGTAGATGGTTTCGCCGGAGCTCGCCGGAGTTTTGCCGGAGCACGCCGGAGTTTCTCCGGAGCTCCGCCGGCAAAGACCGCCGTCATTAACGGCGGTAAGGATTGGGCATTAGCGGCGGTTTTGTTACCGCCGTTAAAAGTGGGCATTAACGGCGGTTTCGTACTAACATTCATTGTAATTATTTTTTTTTTCAAAAAAAAAAAATTGATTGAATATAAAATTCTATAATATCAAGATTGTCTATTAAAATATAAAGAAAAACATATTTCATTCATATTTTTATCTCACATTTTTACTTTCTTACCCAATCAAATATAATAGAGAAAAAAATACAACAAATTCTTCCTCTTCTTTTTGTCCGTGAGAAAATACAATAATTTCTTTTATCTTCCCACCAAAACAAAGTTTAAAAATGAAAAAGAAAGAAAAGTGAAGTTAAAAATAGTTTCAAACTTTGATTGGAATCCATTCTTATTGCAACTGTTGTCTTCAGAAATTTCACATTGGCGCTGTGTGTAACCCATAGTAAAAGGCCTAAAATTACATGGACCTAAAAAGAAGAAAATAATGGAGTGACAATACAGTAAAATAAACACAGAGTCCGGGGTCGAAGGTCTATTTTGAAAAATGAGTTATAATTTACTTTCTAAATTATAACTCACTTCTTCTCTCACAAAAAGTTACTTATAAATAACTTTTTATCAAAAAATTAATTATAACTCTCTTTCCAAAGTAGCCCTAAAATTCCAGCGTTCTCTTGTTAATTCTAACTGAGGCCCCGTTTGAGAACTTACTTTTTTAGTTAAAAAGTCAAAAAGTTATTAAAATTAGTCAAAAAGTCAACAATTCATATCAAAAAGTCAAACATTCTCTTTTCTCCCTATTTTTTGCACATCTTTTTGTAATTAGTCAAAAAATATTCCAAACATACAAAAAAATTTTAGCTATCTTTTTAACCAAATAATTAAAAAATTACTAAATTAACCTGTTTCCAAACGAGGGCTCAGTTAATTCTATGTTCTATTCTTCACTCTGACAGAATTTGGAATTGGACCCCTTGTGTTGCAGAAAAGACATTGGACAGAATTTTGGGTACAGAAATCTGCAAGAGTTGGTTGAGAATTCAAAGGCTGAGATGAGAATGGCTACGCTTAATGGGTTTTTCACCACCAGAACTACTGTTATTGTTTGATCTATTGTTTTTAGATTTAGGATTTTGATTAGCACCACATACAATGGTGAACTCTAATCCATACACAAAGCATGAGAACAAGCTTCCATCGGAGAGCCGCCGTGAATGTCTTCCGTCCGCCACCGTCACCGCCTTCTCATCCTGTTTCCTCGCCGGCGGTAACTTCCCTCCCCTCGCCGCCGCCCTCTCTCTCTCCCTCTCCGCCTTCCATTTATACCCTTTCGCCATCGCCTCTTCCATCGTCAAGTCCTCCAATATCGAGCTCCCTCCATCATCCATGTCCGGTTTCAACACAAACCCTTTCCCCGCCGTCGCCGTCTGAGGCGGCGGCGGCGGATACAACCCTTTCGCTATGGCCGCCGCCACTATCGACGCCGACGGTCCCACGTCGGAGCACAGCTCCGACCCTCCGTTCACCATCGATCCATTGCATATCGAACCACCCACTTCTTTTTGTGGGTAGTAATTGTCCTCTGAAGTTAGATCGGTCCTTTCACTTCTCGATCTCCAGAGCTCAATCTTCGTATTTAACTCTTCGTCCGGCTCCGCCGCCGCGTCCTTGTTTTCTATTACGGAGAGAGGCATGCTTCGCATGGTGCTGTCAACGAGCGAAACGCCCATGTTGAGAATTCCCTGAGGACTACCGGAAGGGCGGCGGACCTGGAGAGCGACGAAGCGGGTGGCGGAATCGTTTACGGTTCGATAATTGGGAGGGAGCAGGTTGGTGATGAGAACGCGAACCGTTCCGACGAGGTTGTCTCTGATCCAAGAGACTGTATAGATTTCTACGATGACAGCAGTTGTATCGGAGGTGAGAAGATTGTCGTCGACTTTGAAGACGAACTTGTCGTTCCAAGTTGGGTTCGCATTGCCGTTGCTATCGACTCGGGTTGTTTGTTTGTGGTCGGGGCTAAGCCATACGATGGCGTATGTTTTCATGGATTTGGCGACGGGTGAAAGGTCTTGGGCGGAGATGACGGTGATCTCTAATAGCTGGCATGGGGGTGGCTGACACTTTTTTGACTTTGATTTGGTGGTGGAGGTGGTGGGGTTGACGCTACTCATCGCCGTCCGGTGCCGGGGATGTGGAATCAGAGGCTGAGGCTGTTGTTGTTGTTGTTGTGTGGAGCAGAAATTGGATTGATAAGGTGAAAAAGTTTTTAACATTTCTGTGGGGAGTGTTTTTAGGTGTGATTGCATGATTTTAGGGAAGTTCGTTACATGCATGCTTGTTTTGGACCACCACTTCTTTAGACATTACAACGGTTTCAACGTGCAAGTCCCGTTTGTTTGTATGAGTAAGTGAAATATGAATAGAAATGTTATTTTATATCTATTTTTTCTCTTCAATGATATGTAAATGCTATGAAAATTTAATTTAACTTTTGGTCTTCTATAACAATGCTCTTATGAATATGAACTATGTGAGATGACTAATAGTGTGTGATGCTGAGACAAAATAATTTTTTTAATTTCTAATCCCATGATATTAGATATCAATGCCATTTTTTTCTATGTGATTGGTAATCCCTCTTTGAATGGATTTTATATTCTCAGGACAATTGTTCAAATAATAATATTATGAACTTAGGCTTGTCAACTCAGAATTTATCTAGAATTATCATCTTGTAATTTAAATTTATTTTATATATGAATCTCATATTATATAAATTTAATTTCCAACATACAACCATTCATCCAAAAAAATATAAAATGATTAGTTTGGATTTCCAAACTTACTCTTATTCAAAATAAGCATAATTTTTTATGAACTCACCTCATTACTAATTCAATCACATCCTTCAACTCTGAAAACAAAGGGCTAAGGCTCCGTTTGTTTTGAGAATTAGACGGGGGATTGAAATTAGTAGTGAGATAAGATCCACTAGCATTGTGTTTGTTTTGAGAGATTAGGAGGGGATTGATAGTGAGCTCTAGATTATGAATTCTCTTGGGAAGGGGATTCGAATGGGCCTCCAAGACTTGGTATTAGAAAAATAGTCTGCCAGACTAGCAAATTTTAATTTTTTTTATTTTATTTTTTACATGTTGGCATTTTTTTAAAATTAATGTTTAATTTTTTGTATTTTTTGTTAAGTAAAAATCATTATTTTATTTCTTTTATTTTTTTCTGGAATTTTTTTTTTAAAATTTTTTTACATGTTGGGCATTTTTTTAAAAACATTAATGTTTAATTTTTTTGTATTTTTTTTATTATTTTATATAAAAATAATTTAATAATCCCTACACTAACAACTATCATCAAAACAAACACAATTTTACTTAATTCCCTCATTATCAATTCCTTCACTAACAATTATCATACTATTTATCCACTCACTATGAATTATCTCCATTCTACTTCTGAAAACAAACGGGACCTAAGAGCATCCTCATCAAGCTCTTCAAAATCATTTTTTAGCTAAAAACTTAAAAAAATCAATTTCATCAAACTTGCTTACAGCTCGTCAAAATTTACGATAACTACAGTAACTCATTACAACAAGCGAGACACTATTCATCGCTACTTGTGTGTTACTGAATGTTCCCCCGAAAGTCTGACGAGTCAACCGGTCAACAACAAAAAAATTTTTTTTGGTTGCTTTTTTTAAGAATTATTTAGTTGGTAATTTATCAATTTAATAAAAAAAAGAAAGACTATCAAACACAATAAGAAAATAATATTTAATAAGAAAAAGTTAAAATAAAAAGTTTAATACAATAGGGGTTAAAAGATGACTAACTAAAATAATAAAATAATTTTAATTTAGCTAAAAGTTTAAAGCGCTTGGTGTGAATACTCTTGAGGTGATCTCTTCTAATTCTCTGCCCTACTCTCTCTATCTCTATAGAAATAATTTAGGGCAAATTACATATACACCCCTCCAGGTTTGACAAAATTACAGATACCCCCTGAGGTTTGAGAAATTACGAATTCCCCCCTGAATGCTATATTTGCATAAGAAATTAGGGGGTAATTTGTTATGAAATATAAACCTCAGGGGGTAAATTGTTATGAAAATACAAACCTCAGGGGGCGGGATGTAATTTCCGAAACCTCAGGAGAATATCTGTAATTTAACCAAACCTGAGGGGTGTATATGTAATTTGCCCAATAATTTAGCACATAAAAAAGTATACTAGGTGAGAGACTGGGTGAGAAAAATTGATTCTCAATGGTGCTATTTATTGTAACGGTTAAAATAGATTATAGATTATACTTTAACAGATTATAGATTATGACTTTAATCAGAAGCTGTTAATCTGTTTGGTATAACTATTGGATTATAGATTTAAGTTGCTGAGTAATGTTTGTTAAATAAGCTGTGAAGTAACTTTTTCAATTAATTTTTATTTTTTATTATTCACTATTTGTCTATATTTTTCATAAAAAATAATAATAATATTTAATAGTCCATTTGGGTCTTTTTTTATTTTTAAAAAAATAAAAAAATCTAAGAGTATAACCGTGAATTAACATGTCCACAGCAGAAGCTGATAATCAGAAGTAAGGGGTGAGCAGCTTCTCAGAATCAGCTTTTTTGACTTAAAATAAGTTGTTAGAATCAGAAACTGTTTGAAATAAGTTTAACCAAACAGTCCAAAATAACTTTTTAAAAGCCAGAAGTCATAAGTTGGCTTAAAAAAGCTCCACCAAACACCCCCAATGTGGTGCAGGTGAAATCCAACAAATCAAGGCCCTGTTTGGTAAGTTGTTTTTTTAGTTTATTTATTTATTTATTAAAATAGCTAATAAAAATAAAATAACTTAAAATAACTAAAAAGACAAAATATCACATATAATTTATAATCATTTTACTTTTCAAATATCACAATCATCAAATTAATTACAAATAAAAAAAATAACTATCTTTTCAAGTACAACTATTTTAATCAGACTAAAATAGCTAACTAAAATAATTAATTTCCCAAACAAGACCTAAATTTTATCGTGTTGAACTTGTTTGGGGTGTCTCAAATAAATGCACTTTTTGACTTTTTGAACTAAAAAATTAAGGAAAAAAAGATGGTTGTTTGGGATAATTTTTTTACTTTTTACGAAAAAATGTGTATTAAAAAATTGTATAAATTAGTATATAGGAGAAGATTGTGATGGAATAGGCTATACAGTGAGGGACATCGTGTGCAGGGTAGGGGGGAGATGGTTCCCTATTTTTCGGACAGTAAATTGAAGGTGTTGTTCGGCCCGTGGGGGCCTACCACAGGTCTCGTTTTGCTAATCAAAACCGTTCGATGTATAGAACTCGTCGATCACTATATGTTTATAAAAAATGACGTTGATCAGATATCGATAGCTATCTAATTGGATTAATTTTTTTTCAACCAGTAACTATAACACCATCCATTTTATAAATTTTAACTGATTTGATCATATAGTTACCGATATCCAATCAACGTGGTTTTTCATAATTATAGAGTATTCGATGAGTTCTACACATTGAACGGTCCAGATTATTAACATGGGACCCGTTATGGCCCTAACGGACCGAACAACACAGTGTTATTTGTGCACCTAAATCATTGCAATTTTTCCAAAAACTCAGCTATGCCTGTGGGACATCAGAGCTGTTTGAAAATTAATTTTGTGTAAAATTAATTTTTTTAATTTTTTTTGGTAAATAGTAATAATTTTTTAATTTTTTAAATAAATTTTTAACTTTTTTTAATTACCTCAAACCAGGCCTTAATCTCTACAACTACATGTATTCAAAACTAAAAAGGTGTGACCCAATGCAAGAGCATGGAGGTGAGTCACTCTATGGTCTGGCTCAATGGAATCAATGGCACAAAACAAAGTGCACTAGAAGAAGTTATTTAGGCCTATTTTAGTAGTACGATTAAACGTTAATTTTTTTTTTTTTTAACTTTTGAGTCATACTATCTGTATGTTTTGTTTTTTTAGTCCTTTAACTTACTTGTCAAAATTGGCCGAGGATTGTTCCATATCATTCTTTGAAGGGCAAGTGTACAATTATCTCTTAAAAATAAATAAAAAGATAGTACTAATAAAAATAAGTTGAAACGTGGCATTAACATGCCCCGGAGCCAAAAAAAAATAATTTCCCCACTAAAAGGGTATAGGATTTGCATTCTATCAAAGTGACTTATAATTTCAAAAATAATAAAAATATATAAATAAACGACAATGCTACATAATTCAAATTTTGTGGCTCAAAAGTGACTCAAATGGCCAAAACGACGTCGTTTTGAGTACAGAACAACATAAAAATGGCCAAAACGACGTTATTTTGGCCATTTGAGCCACTTTTGAGCCACAAAATTTGAGTTACGAAACATTTTTCATAAATTAAATATAGAATTAAACACAAAAATAAATAGAAAGAGATGATTTGTCAGAAGTGAACGCCTACAAATTTTGTAAATTTTCTTTCATTTATTTATTTATTTTTGTGTGTGTTTCGTTGATGAACACTTAAATTTATTGTTTAAAAAATGTTAATACCGTATCATTTTAGTAGAGCATTTTATGGCTTCGTTTGGAAAATAGAATTAGAACTATTTTAATCATAAAAAGATAAAATAAAATTTTTAATTTAATAAGATAAAATATTATATTTAATTCATAATCATTATATTTTTTTTGTCAAAAAATCAAAAAAATTATTTCCAAAAGAAATTTTTTAACCCCAAATTAAAATAACCAAAAAGTCAAAAAGTCAATCAACTTTCCAAACGAATTCTAAATAAAAATTTTGATCTTGTTTGAAATAATGTACAAAAGTTAAAAAGTCAAAAAATTATGGATTAATTACACTAATAGTCCCTATAGTTTGGGGCTTGTGTCACTTTGGTTCCTGACTTTTTAATTATGACACATTTGACCCTGAATTTTGAATCTTATTCCAAATAAAGACAATTGAAAATATCATTAGATTTTTCAAGGGTAAAATCGTCAATTTGATAAAATATAAACTAATTTGACAAAAATAAATGTCAAAAAAATATTTTTAATTTTTTAAGAATTATTTTTATCCACCAATGATAAAATTATATAAAATTAATAAAAATTACATGATTAATTTTTTAAAATTAATTTTACATGATCATCATCCAAACACATAATAAAAATTAATTTGGTAAAAAAAATGAATAAATGTCTAAAAAATTTATCAATTTTACATAATTTTATTTTTAGTAGATAGAAATAATTTTTAAAAATTTAAAAATATTTGTTTGGAATTTATTTTTGTCAAATTAGTTTATATTTTATCAAATTGACAATTTTACCCTTAAAAATTTAATGATATCTTCAATTATCCTTATTTGGAATAAGATTCAAAATTCATGGTCAAATGCGTCAAAATTGAAAAGTTAAGAACCAAAGTGACACAAGGCCCAAACTATATG